ACGCCACACCAATGTTCAGAGACCCACTGTTATCCTGTGAGTCCCTGGCACCCTTCACATACTGGCCGAAGAGAGGCATCAATTTTTATAGCCTTTGAAGGACCCCCAACATTAAGCACAGACCCTTGTACATCACAAATGTTCCACATTCAGTAAATCAACCAACAGTTATTGAATATGATCTATGTGACATACACTCACTACACTGGGCTCCATTTAATGGATTAGCCACCAGAAATGGGTTGGGAAGACAATTCTAATCGCTTCATTGACAACTCGAAAGCCATCTCAATAGACTTACTTAAAGAGTATATATAATACATAAGAAAACACCTCTGACTCAGAAGCTGTGGGACTCCAGATACTCAACTTTCAAACTACTCCAAAATATGCAAAAATTTCCTTCAAACAGCTAAAATAAGAGTGTGGTATTTTGCATTTGTGCCCAAAGCAGTGTTTGGAATACAGACCCTTAGAGTCCCTCACAGGGTCCCCATCTTCTGGCACTGCCACGCTCTCTAGAGTGCAGCCTGGTCTGCCCAGTCACAGAAGGCGTGAGTGGCACGGCTGCCCCAGGCGGAGGGCCCCAGGGGAGGGAGCAGCTGAGGTGGTTCCGAAGGCCTGGAGGTCAGCAGTAAACAGGATTTTATCTATCTCCTGATGTGTGAAAACTGGCAACTTCCTGTAATTCATTCCCTGTAGTGTTGCTACATACTAGCCAAGTCAAGTGATTTCCTTTGAGACCCATTCAACCTGAGAATCGTCTTCCACTTTGCTAATGTTCCTGTTCAAGCAGAGAAAATACTCAGAAAGTGCAGGCTTTAGTTCCAATTCTGCCAGGTATTGTCTGACTGAATTCTAATAAGTTGTCAAAGGAAGATAATAAGATCTGAATGCATACTTCAAGGAGTAAATGCGAGGATGAAATCAGATAATGGAAGGGAAAGCAATTTGAAAAGTTAAAAGCACTATACCAACATGAGACAGCAATGGTGATGCTAGAGGGAAAACAGCCACACTGAGATGATGTTTGAAACCGAACGGGTGCTCCGTCTCATCCAGCAGTCTGCCGTTTTCTTTTCTCTATTCACTTCATTTTACAGTTACCTATTAGGTACCTCCCATGCACAAGGTAGTACGTGAACACAAAGATGAAGCTGTAGATCCTGCTCTCCCAAAGTGCTCAGGGGAGAGAGGTACACATCTGTGACACCTGGGAGAATGGGGAGTCCTACAGGAGAAGTGCTAAGGAAGTACAGGAGAACGTAGCTGGCGGGGGCGGGTAGATGGGGGGAGAGGACAATCAGAGACAGCCTCACAGAGTCCTGAAAGCTGCTTCTCCCACCAGTCAATTTAACAACGGCATTCTTAAGGGCTCTTCATCTAAGGAAGTGGCTTGTAGCTTTTCCATGTTTTTATATTACAATTTTTCCTGAGTTAAGGCAAGTCAGTAAATGGGAGAAAAGTCCTCATTCATACATTCAGTACACATTTACTGACTGTCAGGAACAATACTAGGGAGACAGTGGAGACCAAGAAATAGTCCCTGTTTTCAGCAGCTCATAGACTAGTGGGTTTCCTGATAAGTAAACCAATAATTCAGTACAGATACTAATGGGGGTCAGAGGAGGTACTCAACCTCGCTTGGCAGAGTGTGGGGGGCCATTCAGGGGAAGACCCTCGGCAGAGGAGGTGAAGCCTGCCCTGACTCTTGAAAGATGAGTCGACGTTGGCCTGGGGATGGTGGACAGTGGAGGTGGGGAGTAAAGACATTTCAGGAAGAGGGCAAGAGAGACCAGGGAGAGCTTGGACACAGGGCTACAGAGAGGCAGCCACACCCAGAAAGGCCTTCTAAGCCATGGCCCAAAGTTAGGCCTTTAGCCTGAAGGTGATTGGGAGGGTATATGGGTATGTGGGGTGAGAACAGAAAAAAAGAGAGAGAATGAGCCTGAGAAATACCAGTATTTGGCAGACAGAGGTAAAGGGGCCCAGAAAAGCTGGAAAAAACCATGCCTGCATAGTCTATATCTGTTTCACAATGGACTTGGGTGACAAAGTGTTAGCTGGGATTACCCATTCCATGCTACAGCTGGAGAAAACAAGACAGAGGAAGGTTAAATGCCTGCCGGGCCACACTGTGAATGAGGGAACCCGAACCTGAACTCAGTACTCTAACTCCTAGCCAAACTTCGCTGCTCTGATTCTCACTTCCCTTCCCTCATCTGAGTCAAACTCCTGGACATCTAGGTATAGGACGATTTCCTCCAGTACTCCTTTTCCTTGTCATTTAAGCCTAAAATCATCAAGGTGTGTGCTTGCAGGGAAGGCTACACTCCCTGGAGGGAGCTCAGCTCAGACTTAAATGGTGCAAAGATTAGGGTCACTGTTCTAATTCTACATACTTCTCCTTCTATATCCATAGGAAAAAACACACACACACACACACACACACAAAGACAGAGGGGGACACGGAGCGGAGGAGAGAGAGAGAAGCACTGGCTTGGGTCAGTAATCTGGGATGTGAACACCAAATGCCTTCTTCCTGGCAGGGCACATTGCTGGACCACCTTGCTGCAAGGTGATAGGTGCCTGGGTAGATGAATGGATGGAGAGATGGCACAGGATGGGGGCAGGTACCCACTAAACAAACAAGGGGTGGGCGGGCTGCATGAACAGAGGAAGCAAAGAACAAAGGCTGCTCACTCTTCATGCAAAGTCCACAGTGTGCAAAGGGCATCAATATTGGACATTTCTCACTGTGACATTTTGAAAGCCCAGAACAATGGTTACCCTCTGGGGACCATGGGCTGCGTGTCTCTAGCACTTATTCAATGATAGCTGGCATATCCCATGTGCTTGGTGAACTTGACCTTGGGCATCAAACTCCCATGACGGTTCTACGTCACTCTGGTCTCTTCCCCCACTGAGAATTCCAGTCTCAGATGAATGGGTGGATTCATTCTGAGAGCAGAAAAACCACTCCAGGAGTGAATCAGAAGGATCCAGCCCCGGTTCCCTTGCCAGCCATTGAGCCAGGAACTGAGTGCAATTGTGTGCCCAGGCGCCGGTGCTGGTCCCCTCTCAGGGAGAGGGGGTCAGGGTCCACGCAAGAGATGACGTAGAAGTCCTCTCAGGAGGAAGAGAAAGGAATCTTAGCTTTGAGGGGCAAAGCTGCCCTTTTGGTTGTGACCCTCATTCCAAGGAGGTGCCAAGATGTGCATATATGGGTAAATTAATTCTACTGGATAAAAATTGCAGCTTTTGCTGGACAGCTAGTTGTCAATTTCAATTTTCTTCAACTTGACAGGCCTTAGGAAATAGGCTGCTAGCTTTTCAGAAAAAAACTTTCTGCAAGATGGATGGGAAGAGTGCACCTCAGATCACCCAGAGAATCCCTCTCCTTTAGTGGGCTCTGCTTTGCTTTTCTGATTTGTGAAGGAAAGATTGATATTTTTTTAATTGTAAACTCAAATCTAAGCAATATGAAGTATCTGCACTTTCTGCTTTTTATCTTGAAAAATTAGGTGGGAGAACCAAAGTTTCAAGATGCAGCTGGTAAGGGGATATCTACATCACAAGGTCAGGGGACCCAGGCTGACACTTCTAGGAAGCAATTCCTCTAGGAGAGGGAATCAAAGGACTGCCACTTCGCCCATCACTAACTAAGCTATAACAAGACAGGGAAGTTAGATTTTTAGGGCCCCAGCCCCCTATGGGCCTCCTGGAGCAAAGGTGGAGGGAAAGGAGCAGCTCCTGCTGGGGCTTATTAGGGCATTGCTCGGGGCTTCCCTCCATGTGCTGGTGAATAGTCTGGCATTTGTCCATCAATCTTCCTCTAAGAAGCAGGGGGGAAGCAGGTACAGACATTGCTTAAATTTTACATTAGAGAGCTGTCCTTGACACTGACAGACATCAACTGTTTATGGCCAGAGCTTATAGTCTCCACTGACGGCCAAACGTGAGCCTGCAAGAGCCTTTCTGAAGGATATTCTACCATCCTCCTTCACCATGACTAGATATTGTGCACTTAACTTGGCACAAAGAAATAGGCCACATGTTCACTATGCTAACAAAACCTGGACTCCAAAAGGGTTGCTTCATCTAGTACACCTGCTGGGGTCCACGTACTCAGCACACTCAGGATCCCCTGAGTTTTGGGTTTGTGGATATACAGGGCTTTGGCCTGAAAGGATGTAAGGTCCTTTGGGCAAATTAAGTCTTACAAAATAAGTCAACCATTACACATGATGAAGTGTCTACTACAGCCAAGTATTGTATAGTCCTGTAGTGACGTACTTTCCAGCTCTGGAGTTGTGACTACTCCTCTAACCCTCCCTGGTTTCTTCTCTTACGGGATGACAGTTTCCAGGATGTTTCAGCTTACCTACGTCTATTTTAGACTAACAGCAGGGACTGGGTAATGGCCCTGAAAATGAATAATATTAGTCCAATCATATTGTGGGAGTGTGGGTGTGGTTGTTTAATTCTGGACCCTCCCAAAAGAGAAGCAAGTTTTGTCCTTTAAAGACTTAAATGGTGCAAAGATTAGTCATCTGAAAGCAACTGGGTTTTGATCAGGGAAGGGGTGCAGACTACCATAGTTGAGGGCCACAGCTCTGGTGGGTGGGAGCAGTGGAGAGGTACCCACCAGGCAGGTACTCCACCTCCACGGTACGTAAAAGAGAAGGGAACAGGGAAGTCCCTCACTTCAAGCAGCCGGCAGAGAACAGGGCTGACGCCGTGGAACTTTAAGAGTCAGCAAACGAGTCACAAGCGGGACCCCCGGCCACACCTCCCGGCCGAGAGCTGGAGATGCCGGCAGAGCACGGGAGAAGGGCACTGGAACAACACTCGAACGACCCTCGAAACGGGGCCAGTCGGGCCCTGCTCTGGGCGGAGGGTCCATGCGGGCGGCGCGGGCGAGGGGACTCAGAGGGACGCAGGGCAAGGCGCGTCGCGGGCCTGGAGCCCTAGCGGCCCTGCCGCGGGGCCTCACTCACCAGCTCATGGTTCCGAAACTGGCCTTACTGCTGGGGTTCTCCACCGCAGCTCGGTCCTCGGGGATCACTTCCGGATTCACCCGGTCTCCAGGAAGTGACGTATACCCCGCCCGCTCTGCCCGGAAGAGGCGGCTGAGAGGGCGGGGCCAGGCGCGTTAACCCTTCCTCCGCTGCGGACGTAGCCGGGAGACACTCTGGCTCGCGACCCTCACGTGCTGTTTTGGGGACTCCGGACTCTACCTGGGGCGGGGGTAGGAAGCTCTCTGGGTGCGTTTTCTGCCTTCAAAACTGACTTGTAAACTTTCTTCTGCTGACTACACGTGTTGCTTAACCTGGTTATTGCCTCGTTTTTTATGTCTGTAAAGAGATTTCTAATCCAGAGACAGTAACAGTAATTGTTTAGGGCTTAGGAGCCAATGGGGGATGAGGGGGGCAGGAGCCCGAGGGAGACATATTCACTGTATTGTCTTTTGTCTCTTAAGTATCGTATGTGCCATTACGTGTTACAGACAAATACATGGATCTTTTCCCTCCAAGATATCACAGGGCTGGCTCTGAATATAAATAGAATAGGTGCTTTTCAGGTTGGAATGTTCTGCGGATTTACTCAACGCAAGAGGACAAAGAGTAAGGGCTGCTCCCTGTCTTCCAGCCCTCCCTCTGTGCAACTCTCTACAGAACCCAAATGATGTGACTGGTCCCATTCTTTCTCCACGTTCAGATATTCATTGAGTTCCTACAATGTGGCAGGCACTGTGGTGACTTCAAGGATATATCCATGAAAAATATATAGATGATGGGAAAGAACAGGGGCCCTGGCAATCTGTAAGCACCACCCCCAGCCCCCCAAGCTGCCCATGGGGTTTTAGTAAAGGCTTCAGGGAGGAGCCAATGTATAAGCCAAGTCCTGAAAAGGAATCATGCTAGCCAGGTGAATCAGAGATGAGGGCTTGGGAGGGTCCAAGCAGAAGGAACTTACCTTCACTATGAAGAGGACCAAGTTCCAGGTAAGCAGCTCGTTTGCCTTGGGTCTCCCAAACTCAGAACTCAGGGCCTTCGCTGCTCATAAGCTGTCTGGGGTTCTGGGGCATGTGGACCTCACCTCCAAGAACTTTTTTTGCCTTAGAAGTGAGAAGAGTAGGCAGTAAGGCCTGTGTGGGTAACTGCTGGGCCTCCAGGGGCCTTCCCTCTGGGCATTCTTCAAATGGACTCTAAATATTATAGGTGTTGCTTGGAGAGTAGCTAAATCAATGAACTAGAGCAGAAAACATGCATAATTTGTTCTTACTTCCCAGGGCAGGTAGAGGGCTCTGCCAGGGGGAGTAGGAGAGCTCAGAGGACTGCCCACAGGAGGTAGTCTCTCATTATTGTTTTTTGTGTCCATTCTTGAGGGTCCAGAGTTTGACTCAGTAGAGCAGGGGTGTCTGACCTTTTGACATCTCTGGACCACACTGGAAAAAGAAGAGTTGTCTTGGGCCACACATTAAATATACAAACACTAACAAAAACTGATGAGCAAAAAAAAGGTTTTAAGTGAATTCACAATTTTGTGTTGGGCCGCATTCATAGCCATCTTGGGCCACATGCAGCCCGCAGGCTGTGCATTGGACACCCCTGAAAGGTTTTCCATTAGAGGGGGGGCTCCAAGCACATCACACAGATCAGCTTCATGTTACTGCTCAAGGAACATGTCAAAATGAGCACTAGGGCAGCCTTGAAGAGTGAAGAGGACAGGTACAAGTCTCCAAGGGGCAGCCAGGGCAGAGCATGTAGGCACAGGGAGAGATAGTCCTTGCCGCCTTGCTCATGGTATGATGAATGGAGGGTGAGGGTGCTGCGTTTGTGTGTGTGTGTGTGTGTGTGTGTGTGTGTGTGTGTGTGTGTTTTAAGACATACATGAAAGCTCTAGGGTTTGGTAGGGACAGAGTGCACCCTCCAAACACAGGAAAATGCTTTCATCAGTTCCTCTCCCTGTGGTATCAATGACCAGGGCACAGGAAGTCTGCGATCACTTCCGGATGCACTTGGGCTGTGTTTTTATAAGTCTCTGGCACTTTAGCACCTACAGAGAGCTCTTCCACCTGCTTCTTACTTTCTCCATACTCTGTCTCCCTTAGTTATTGCCCTGTGGTGCTAAAGCATTTCCAAAAGTATTAGCCAGGCAGCCGCCATATCCCAGGGAAAGTCTATTCCAGGACCAGGGGGTGGCAGACACATCCCATAGGGCAAAAATGATAAGCTCTAGACTGAGTCTAGAGGGATCCTGGGCTCTTGTTCCATCTTTGGTACTATGACAAGTCATTTTCCTCTCTGGGTCTTGGTCCTCTCACCCAGAAGATGAATGGATCAACACCACTGAAGTGTGAACATTGTGATGTTTCAAGTCAATGGTCTTGTTGACTTCAAAGGCCCTCAAGAAATTGAAGAATGAGGGGAGCATGTGAGGAGGGGCCTGAACAGAGAGGTAAGCCAACAGAGCAGGTCTCATCTGCAACCACCGAAGCCAAACATAAACCTTCTGGGAGGGAAGGATTCAGCCTGAGGCCCAACTGGGGCTGTGCTTCTTAACCTATAAGCCTGAATCTTTCATGCAGCCAGCAGAATCTTTGAGGTACTGGGAAGAATGCTGACCTCCCAGGAGTCTGTCTGGAAAGTGCCAGCTATGAGCCCAGCTCCATTTCCTTATTGGAAGCTCATTTGCTCAGCTTGAGGTGTGCTGGCCTGAGGATGGATAGTCATGCATCCTGCTGTCCTGGGGACCAGGTTTCTGTCTGTGAGCACAACTTGCCATGTAGCATTCACGCTGTGGAGGTGAGCACAAGGACACACAAACACCTTTCACTGTCATGAAAAACTCAGCTTCAGTGTCTCCAGACCCAGGTTTGGGAGAATGTCTTTCTTTTTTGGAACCAGAGAACAGCACCCCACAGGTTGATCCTACCCCTTCAGGGGAGGGATGAGAAGGGAACAAATGTGGTTTCTAAGTGGAAGCTGAGAGTGGAGGAGCTTTGGGCTGAGGTGGACTCTCCTATTTTCAGGCCTGGTGTGTACTGCTTTCTCCCCAAAAGTCTGAGCCTGCAGTGAAAGAGTGTGCAGGTGGCAGAGATCTACTTCAGGGGACAGAGCTGTGGACCAGAAGGAAAGCAGCTGAAGGACCAGCTCTGCCATCAGACCCCTGACCTCTACTTGGAGCTTTTCACGTAGAGATTTGTAAGCAGGTGTGCCCAGTGGTCCTCATCTTGGGCTTGTCATAGGTGCTGTCCTGCAGCCTTCCCCACACAGAGGTTGACCCTCTGGTTCTTAAACTACACCCACCTCTAATCAGCTGAGTGCAAGGGTTCCAGGAGTGGACCTGAACCATTACAGACTTCTTTAGAGCCTGGGGGCTGAGAGCAGAGGGACTGAATGTGAAGGGGCCGAATCAATGGGCTGAGCTCTCTTGCAGCCCAAAATGCCTCTGCCTCCAGGAGGCCCTGCAGCATAAATGAGGACCTGGATCCTCAGGTTTCTCTGTGGTTTCACTCCTCACTTCTCTCTACTCTGTGCCTGCTCAGCAGGATGTCTCAGAATAACAGTTTCCTGGGCAGCCTGGACGGGAGAGGAGCAAGGGTGGGAGAAGATGGAAAGTTTCAGAGTTAGACTTTCCAGTGGTGGGGAGCCCACTTTGATGACTCAGAGGCCACGATAAAGTAGCAAATCAGAAACTGGACTGGGAAGCAGCAGGGAGGGCCAGAAATACTATCTGGACTCTGGCTCTGCCTCCATGCAGCTTGAAGGAGTCTCTTCCCTCCTTGTGGTCTCATCTTCCTTGGCTGAATGTAGAGTCTAGATTAGATCCCATGTGCCAACTCAGATCACTTTTCACGGGCTGCGTGGAGCGCCAAGTTGAGGATCCAAGGAAGCTGTCATTGGCAGGAAAGTTCTGTGATTGATTAGCAATGTCTGCCTTGGATGAGCAAAGGGGCCTTTATGGTATGCATTCTACTTCAGTATTTTGTTGTTACTTATTGAGCACTTGAGCTGTGCCAGGCACTATTCTAAGCAGTTCACATTTCATATTTGCAATAACTCCATGAGGTAGGTACTATTATCCTTATTGGTGCGGAGGAGCTGAAGTACAGCCAGTAAGTGGTGGGATGGAGATTCCCATCTGGGCAAACCTGGCTCCCCTCTCATGCTTTTTGCCATGATGGCATGCCACCTCTTGTTGATGAGTCCTGAGGCTCCTGACAATCTATGGTTCTGTCAGGGCCCAGCGGGGTCAGAATCCAGCAGAGAAATGTAGCGGGGCATGGCGGGGGTGGGGGAGAGGCAGAGCTGAGCACTGAGTGGCTGGGTTGGGCATGGGCGAAGGCCAGCATGTGTTGAACAACCTAACGAGGAATCCTTGGCCTCATCCTGGGAACTTTTATATGCTTCCTCCAGTTTCGGGACCTCAGGACCAGCAGGTGGCAGCACCTGGCAGGGTGAGAGAAAAGGGCAGGCCCCCACTTGGCATGAAGTCCTTCAGGGGTGAGACAGCCTAGGTGTGGAGGAAAGCAAGAACAAATGAGGGTGTGGGAGAAGGCCAGCCAAGGGTCCAAAGAGGAGGGCCTGGGCCTCAGACCCACAGGGAGCTGCCATGGCCGATGCTTTAGTTCCCCTGTCAGCCTGAGCCTCTCAGCTTGCATTTCATGGTGACTGCTGTGGGTTTTTTTTTCCTCCACTCTGGGAGAATGACTAACTTAAAGGACTAAAAAAAAAAGTGTTTTGATTACACTGCCTTTTTACCAACTGGGAGCATTAGTCACCGTGGATTGCTGCAGATAACGGGGAAGGCAAGCAGCATCCCCCTCCTCCCCCTCCTTCTCCCTGATTAGCTCACAGAAGCCAGGGAGGAGACACGTGTGAGGGAGCGCACCCAGCAGGGAAAACAATCCCCCTGGACGGCATGTGTCCCAGGCGCCCATCCAGCACTGCTTGGTCAGGCTGGGCAGCCCCCTGGCAGTTTGGCCCCCACTGGAAAGAGAACTGGCAGGAGGGGGACTGAGTCCAGTGCTCCTGGGCTCTCAGTTGGCTCTAGATAGCCTGATTCTCCAGGTGGGTCCAGGGTACACCTGGGA